CTGGAACTCTCACAGACATATAATCATCACAGAAATGAGGGCCGCATGTAAATTTGCTGAAATGGAGTACAGTAACAGCCCAGTTCCTGAACACTTCTGTTTGCAAACAGTTCGGTTCCCAAACAAGGTATTGAGCAAAATTTTGCCTCCGTTGCCAAAGTCCACATCCAGTGACAAAAGGACCACAGCTGTCTTCCCCTCGCAGACACAAATGCAGCCACCTTCCCCCAACCAAGCTCATACAGCACTCTGTAAGCAAGCGAGTTTTTCTCTTCTCCTACCTTGTACTTGAAATCTATGTATATTCTCAAGAAGGTAGTTACAAAGTGGTCATTCTGTGCCACACAAGAAAAAGAATTCCTAGCAGGTTGAAGCAGTTGGATTATTGGAGCCGGAGGTGCCCCAGGTCCCCAAATTGCATTAGTTCAAAGCCATGGGCAGATGCTATCAGAACTTCAGTTATCCTGTGAACCAACAGAACTGTAGAGCTAGAGGCTGGCTCAGGTATTACCTAGTCAATTTTTCTTCCATCTTTTAAAAGCAATGGAATACTTTCTTCTCCAGAATGAAGCCTCATGCAAATTCATACTGAGCAATCAAGCAGAGGGATATGTTCTGAGAAGTGCACTGTGAGGCAATTTCATCATTATGCCTACATCACAGAGAGCACTTACATAACCTAGGCCAGTGATGGCGAAACTTTCAGCGGTTTCAGAGACAACAAACGGCCCGCTGTGTCACATATAGCATAGGTTCACCAGCACTGATCTAGCTGGTGTAGCCTACTACACACCTAGGTTATACGGTATGCATACATCTATTTGTATTCTAGCCTATTTCTCCTAGAGCCATGATGGGCAATGAGATTATAAATTATGAACAGAGAGGAATAAATGATGTGACCCAGAGATAGTAAGAATGAGATTCACAAGGTTGTTGCCAGCGTGACATGGGCTTACTGTCTTACATTAAAGTAGATTTTCCTAAGTAGGGGGAGAGCATTCTAAAATAACACATAAAGTCTCATATATATATGAGCCAGCAGCATAGTGTATTCATCAATGTCTCATCGCTGGAACAAAATGTTCAACACCTCAGTTTAGAGGAGAGGCCTGCTTTGGTTCTCAGCTTCAGAAGGGCCAGTCCGTTTCTGTGGCAGAAGCAGCAGTGCAGACCAGCATGGAAGAGGAAAGCTATGGCCAGAAGAGAGAGCAAGAGGAGAGGAGCTGTGAACAAAATACTACTCAAGTTCCCGCCTCCAGTGACCGACCTCTTCTCCCCACGCTCCGGCCCCCGGGAGCACATATAGCTACCAGCTCATCAGTGGATTAATCCACTGAGTAGAGTTTCTCCATGGTCCAGTCATCGTCTAAAAGTCCCAACTCTAAGCACACGACAGTCTGGGGGGAAGTTTTAGATCTAAGCTGTAGCACAATCATTTACCGTCATTATCAAGTATTGTGTAGTGCACATGATTGTATATGCTGTGCCTGACACAAACAGTGGGTTTGTTTATGTCAGCATCGCCACGAATACATGAAGAGGTGGCCACAGCGCTGATGTCACCAGGCAGTAGGAATTTTCCAGCTGCCTCATGAATTTATGGGACCACTACCGTATATGTAGTTTACCGTTAAATAAAGCGTCGGTGTGCTGTACGTGTCCTCACAAGAAGGATGAAGTTGAAGCTAGTTTGCTTGACTTGGAGATAAACCTCAAAAATCTCTCTTTTTTTGCCTACTCCTCTATCACACAACACAGTGACAACGAAGTCTATCAAAATGGCACAAAGGTCCAGAGAATTAGAGGTAAACATCTCTGGTCTAGAAGAATTGTTTCACTTTGTAGATGAGGAAACTGAAGCCCAAAGGGAGTCAGTGCCCCAAGTCAAACGCCATCGCTGGAGCAAGAGTTTAGCTTCTCCTGCTGCCTTTAGGCATTCCTCCTGCTGGGACAAAGTATCAGACACTGCTATTGAAAGGATAGGTTTACTTTGGCTCGTGTTTTGAATCCACAGTCAGCTGACACCAAGGCAAGAAGGGCAGGATGACAGGGTCAGGTGGAGCAGAGCTGCTCCTGTCAGGGTTGTAAGGAAACAGCCTGAAGGGAGGAGCCAGGAGAGAGACCCACCCACCCAGGCCACACCCTAGCGACCGCCTCTTAGAACTAGACCTCCCATCAGCAAATCCCATACTGAAACCCCTTCCAAAAGCCCGCCCTATGAATGCGTGAGGCTTAGGAGAGAATTCTCCATCCAAGCCATAGCACCTTCCCTCCTTCCAGTACCATTTCACCTGTGCAGGTCTAACATGAAAGACTTTAGTGGTGCAGATCCAATGTAAAACCATAATCTTGCATGAAAGACTGTGGGTAGTTCTGTCCATCTCAGTCTTTGAGTTTGGGCTAATTTATGAAATAAAGAAGAACCTGTTTGTAAAGGGTGATTGTGAGGATGAAATGACATAGGGCACACAAACGGCCAAGGCCGTGCCTAGTGCAAAACGAGCGTCTGCTAAATGTCAATTTGCTTTTTTTGGATGGAAAACATAAGCAAGCTCAAATCTGTGTAACCCAAGTATAACTTTATCTCACTGAATCTCCCAATAAACTGAACCGGTTCTTTGACTCATTTCTTCATGTATCTGTGTATGGCATTTTGGTATTGGCCTTTTTATTAGAGTTACTAATTGGATCTGCCATGCACAGGAGCCTTCACTTATAATGAACGGGGAGAGAATGTGCAGTTTGATAGAGAGGGCTGCACAAGATTAATTGCTCTACTGCTGTGTTGAAGCAAGGTTAAGAGGCAAGTTGATAGCGGCATCTTCAAGCTACCAGTACTGTACAAAGCTCCCCAACGCTGGCAGAGGGTCAGTGAATGCCAAAGGGGAAGGGAACTGTTGTCCTTCAAGGACAACAAGCCTATGAAAATCAGAGGGCAAAACGCTACAGAAAAGTCACATTTAACCATCACTTTACCAAGAGTCCTTCCTACAAATCAGACAATTCAGGTCCAGCCTTAACCCAAACGGTCCTTTAGCACTGAACTCTCTGACCTCCTTTTTTTCATCTATAAAGAAGATGACTAAAATAACTAATACTCAAGTTATCCTCCAGCTCTAAGGCTTTGAGCTCCTAGGAGAATTATATACGTTACAGTATCAGTTGTGTACATGCATATGTGTGCTGTTAATTTAAAGGTTATATTTATTCCCTAACAAAGTAATAATACTGCCAATATTTTCCTTTCTGCACACTTATGTCATTGAACTCAGTCCAATTTTTTTTTTAATCAAAGACAGAAAATTTTGCATTTCAATGTGTTTGGTTGTGTGGTGAGGTTCCATAAAGTTCAACTCCAAAGCACAGTGGGCCTGATCATTTTGTCATATCCATAATGAATTGACTCCTTGAGAAATCTATATGTTCTCAGTTCCAATTCTGTTGAACAGTAGCCTTGAGAAGGTATTGGAGTAGACCATCTTGCTTGCTGTTTTATTTCACACAGTTCTAAGCCTATAAAAAAGTAGGCCAAAAATATGGTACAACTAATATTAAGGTTGTGGCTATTAGAGCTTCATAAAGATGAAAATTTGCCAACATTTCCAGCTTCAATAAACTTTGTTGAACGGCACCTTTCATTTCCTAATCTTTTCTCTGGAAGCCCCTCTGGGAGGTCCTTTAAGAAATTCCTCACTATTTCTGAGAAGTGTCTTTGGGCACACTTACCCAGCATGCACTGTTTTCCCAGCAGCTCTGACAAAATTTGAAGCTCACTTTGATGGCTTCAGCACATGATAAGGTGGCAAAAATCTGACCACTCCTCTACTTTGGCACTTTGATTCCTTTTATGCAAAAGTCGAAATGTGGCTCCTGATAAAGAGACTCAGTGATGTGTGTGAACAAAATCCTTATTATAAAATGCTGAATGTAACTATTATTAAACTTTCCATTTCTTTTTAGTCAGTTTAAAGCATAATTAATAGAGTGTTACACCCAAAGAAAGAGCAAAGTAAAATTGGCCCTTCTTTTTTTTTTTTCACCATTTTGATGTTTCAGATAAAGGCAAATAGGGGAGGAATTAACTGTTAAAGCATGGATATTTTGATGAGCCACATTTTCTCTAAAGCACTGTAAATTCAGTTTTAGTATCCATTAAACTGCTGGGGAAGGGACTAAAATGGCTAGTCCTCACTGAATGTGTCTATTCAGCATGGGCTGGATTTCCTTAAATATAAATGTAATGCAATGGGGATTTCTCTACAGAGACACAAATTAGCTATTCACCCAGTGTGCACTTAAATAAAATCTGAATAAATCAAGAAAGACTTGCTATGTGGAAATGTTATTTCACCTCTGCTATAGGCAGACATTTATAGTAGCTTAAATTTTTCTAAATTTTACACTTGAAAAAAGAAGAAAGAAAAGAAAAGCAGATCTTGCTATCAACAGTTTTAAGTCAAAGAAGCAACTTTTCTTCCCTAGATCTCAAATGTGGCTTGCAATAGTTATAAACTCTTCAGTTCCTTTCTTTGATTTTTAAAAGCAACCCCATTAGTGCACGTGTAGAAATGCCTGATTGGCGAGGCAGTTCATAATACTTGTCAAAGAATCTTTCAGGTCACCACTAAGTCCGCTTAGTAGGAAACACATGTTTTCTGCAATACTTCATAAGACAGGCTGTGACAACGTATATTCCTGAAACTGACAAGACACTAGTATGTCCTCTAAGAGCTCATGGCCAGCACTATGGGGAAGTTTCTGTTTTCTCAAAAAAAAAAAAATTCTAACTTCTTGGGAACACTCTAGGATCTAACAATGTGATTGCAAAAATGTAGAAAAGAGCTATAATCAAAGTGAGCAGTATTAACTGAGTAAGCATATCTTTAGTAAGACTCACGAAAGGTAGGGGCATACATCAAGTCTGCAGGCTTGGCTCAGCTGGAAAGGGATGGATTGAAAGGGCTTATTTCTCTCCAGTTAGTACATACCTGTTGGAGATCCTATTTGACAGTGTTTTTACACCCATTTTGCTTCACAATGCAAAACCACCTGTACTTCCCCGACATTCCTGCCAGTAGCACCTGAAAGAGCAAAGCGATCATAGGCTGGTCCATAGCACGATCCTGAGAACCTCCCTTCTGTTCCTTTCTTTCACTTCTTAGAGACACATTCCTCAGATTTTTCTTCCACTTGTTTTTGTTCGCATTATATTTTTAGGAAGAAAAACAAACACAAACGACTCATGTTTTATGAGGAAGAGCCATTCATCTGTTACTTCTTTTGCTTTCTGGATCGTTCTGTCTTGTTTTTCCTTCTGTCTTCAACTCCAGGCCTTTAAAATTATCACCAAAAGGTAGAAAGATGCTTCTCTAACCAGGAGTACAGATTTGAAGCGAAACCTAACAACTTCTGAATAGGCAAGCTCAAAATTGCTTTTGAAGGCTTCATCACTGAAAATGTAATCAAACTTAGTGACTCACAATTGATTTAAGTTGCATCCTAAAGGCCAACCTTCGGCCAGGGCAATGTTCGTGCTCACATTGCCTCCGCCCGCAGTTGAATTACTCAGGCAATTCTGTGCGTTTTCAGCTGCAGCCCTGGAGTGCAGATGGCCAATTTGGGATGCAACTTGGTTTTACTTGAAATTTGCAGGAAGATTTTCTCACGTGTTCTTGGGGAAAAGAGGGCTTACTTTTCAAAAATATTCTCTTGCTCACAGAATTGGCTGCCCAAAGGACATTTTGTTTGCCTTTTTTTTTTATGTTTGATTTGAGAAAACGTTACTCTCTCCCCAAGAATCTCTTTTGACTTCTCAAAGATGCATTCTAATCCTTCAATATGTATACAAAATTTAGGGGAAATTAAATTACACAAGGAAAACATAGAGCGATAATATATGCTATTAGAAGCAAAAGTCAGAAATAGACTATACTAGAGACAAAAAAAATTTATTGTGATTGAAGCAAAAGAATGTTGTATAGGTCACTGTAGAGTTGTATGCACTGACAATACCTCCCTCCGTCTCCAAAATATCTGATGAGATTGACACAAAGAAGCATTACAGATACTCTGTGAGGGCATAAAAGGCATTTATTATGTATTTCTTAATTAGATTTTAATCTTTATACTGTGTGTTAATTATATATTATCTACCTTCCTCACAAAACTTCTTTCATTTTCACATAAATCATACCATTTTTGTGTATTTATTTACCTACTTACAAGACAGATTCAGTTTTATACCTTGGGAAAACATCTTCATAGTTCAGGCTTTCTAAACAATCAGTATTATATATTCAGTAGTCCATTGGTAAATATTCAACTGAAATAAAGAATGTGTATAACAACACTTTAAATAATAATAGCATATTCAATTGTCTTCATTGTGAATTCCATGTAGCCGGTTGCTTCTCTCACATATTTTCAACAATTTTGGCCAAAAGCATGTACCTCTACCCGTGGTTGGAGTTCAGGCTCGGTGTGATAAATGGAGTGGTTTTCCAGCCATGAGCGCCATTCTAACAATACAAGTTTTTATTTTTATTTATGATAACAAATAAAATGAAAGTAACATAGGTGATGGCTTTGCTGTTTGAGAATAGGTATGAAATATTCCAGGAAAATATCCTCAAATTTTTGTGTTATCCCCAATGTAAAGGCTGTAGGCTTCACACTTTTGGGTTTAGTCTCCATTAACATTTTCTCCATCATTTTTTTTTTCCTCGTACCGGGGCTTGAACTTGAGACCTTGCAATTGCAAGGCAGGGAGTAGAACCACTGAGTTTAATCCCTGGCCCTTCTCCACCAATTTTTAAGTCTAGATAACCAACAAAATAATAAGTCAACCCCTACTTTGGAATATTTGCCACCTTTTGTGCTACAAATACAATCACTATGGATGATGTCAGGCTAGCAAGGTGATGTTACTGAATTTGGAGGTGAGAGGAGATGAGCTGTATGGTACCACTCTGTGTTTGAAGTGTCATCTGCAAATATTTTCTCCTCTCCTGTACATATCAGTAACCTGAATATCAAAAATAGCAGTAAAATAGCCTGGAAATGACTTTTGAGTACTTATTACATTTGGTTGTAATATACTTTAATTATAACTTAAGTTGTATTCTAATTACTTAATCATAGCTTTGTTGAGATATAATTTCCTTTTCCCAGGCACTATATTTCATGAAAACCTCACAGAATTCCCAAAAATTTTATAAGCAGTTATCAGGAGCCGGTATGGTAGCTAAAGAGGAAAATATGATTCTTCTGCATATAAACCAAGTGACTCTCTCAAAATTACCAAATTTCACCTTTAAATTGCCCACATGCAAAATGGTGTTAGTAATTCTGACTTAACATGGGGTTAGGAGAATTAAATGAGATGAAGAGTACTTGGCACATGGCAAGGATGTATATATCAGAGGCCTCTCTTTCCCATCTTACAAAACTTCCGTTCCCCACCCCTCTAATTCTTTTGTTTTGAGCTACAAATGATGTAATCCGGCATCTTCAGATCCATACAATGTTCTCCGATAGATAGAACTGAACTTTTATTGTCTCCGTGATAAATGCATTCGTGCAGAAGTATTTTCACACCCATGCTGGTTTAAATTTGTGGCAACAGAAAAATTCTTTCTTACATTGTTGATGCTATCACTGCCCTCCCTTCCCACCCCAACATTATTTCTATAGTCCTAAATTATGAGGCCACAGGGGATGCTTATCTTGTCATGTTTTAATCCTATGAAGCCAGAGGGAAAAATATAGTATCTAGTCATAAAATTATTTCAAGACCTTGTACTAACACCACAGTAGGATCCAAATTCATTGTTGTCTCTCCTCTAACTTGACCAGAGTCAGAAGTGGAGGAAGAATTATTCTAAGCTTCTATGAAATAGGTTGAATCAGGCCAGGGATTTAGCTCAGTGGTCCTGCCATCTGCCTTGCAAGAGCAAGGACCCGAGTTCAATCCCCAGTATGTATATATATATGAATAATATAGGTAGAATCATATTAACTTCACTATTCTTATTTTTCTTTTCATTCTTCTTACTTGTTTAAAGGATACATACTTCTAAGCTGCATACCTTTGGGCAAAAGATTAACTAGTAACTTGATAATTTAAATATATAGATATATATTAGACAAGGTCTTGCCATGTAGCTCAGGCTGGTATGATCTCACTATGTAGCCCTGACTGGCCTCAAGCCCACAGCAATCCTCATGCCTCAGCCTCCTCCAGAGTGGTGGGATTGTAAGTGCGTGCCACCACACCCAGCTGAAAGCTATGATTTTTTTTTAAATCATTGAATTTATTGACCTAAGTTTCTAATCCCATGTTATTTTGGAACACAGAAGTTGGCTCATCTTTCAAAGACTGCTAATTTGGAGTTGACTTTGTAAAAGTGGTGAATAAAAACACACACACTGGACATATTTACAGGCTACCGTGTGACACTTTGGTGCATACATATTTGTACAATGTTTAAATCAGTAAACCTAACTGTCTCCTCAAATACATTTCTTTATAACGAAAACATTCCAACTCATTTAATTTTTTAAAAGAACATACTGCATTTTCATTTAGAGTGATAAACTGGTAGCACATCTGAATTTCTCATTCCTATCTGCTTGTCACTGCATCCACTGATCAAACTTTCCCCATTCCTCTGGGTCCCTTACTAACTCCTGCCTGTTGTTAACCACCATTCTATTTTCAACTTCTATGGAATCAACTTTTCTAGATTCTACATCTTGTGGGATTTCACAAGCACTTGAATTTCTAGGCTGTGTTTATTTCACTGAACATAATGTTCTCCAGCTCTATCCATGTTATTGCAAATGACATGATTTCATTTTTTATGGCCAACTAATATTTCCTCATGTGTAGGTGCCCCATTTTCTTTACCCATTCAGCAGTCGCTAGATGCTTAGATATTGTTTTCACTTCTTGGCTCTTGTGAAGAGTGGTCCAGTACATATATGACAGCAGTTGCCTCTTCAACACACTGATTTCATCTCCAGTAGGCTGATGAGATTGCTGATCATATGGTAGTTTCTTCTCTTTCTGTCTTTCTCTCTTTTCTCTTATTTTGGGAAGGAAGAGGGGGTAGGAACCAAAGCCAGAGCCCCCAGTTGTCAGGCACATCTTGGGCCAGCATTCCATCACTGAGCTACTCCATACTACCACTCAGGGTGTCTGTAATACCTCCCGCCCTCCAGCAGTGGACCGGGGCTCCCTCTTCTCCCTGTCCCCCTCATGACTTACCTCTTGTCACTTTTCTAGGAGCCATTCTTACTAGAGCGAGATGATCTCTCTTTGTGGTTCTGATCTGCATTTCCCTGATGGCTAGGAAGGTCAGGGCATTCTTCTCATACATCTGCAGGTCATCTGCATGTCTCATCTTGTGGGACTTACTTGTTGCTACTGAATGTTTGAAGACATAGTATCTTATAGCGCTGAACAGTGCTGCAGTAAAGAAGAAATATATAATGTGAATATTAACCACTTAGAATTATAGTTTCCAAATATTTTCTCCCCTTCTGTAGGTTGTCTCTTCACTCTGTTGTTTCCTTTGCTAAGCAGAAGCTTTTTAGTTTGATGTAAATACCATTTGTCTATTTTTCATTTTGTTTACTGTGCTTCTGGGGTCTTGTTTTAAACATCTTGCTCATGGTAGGGTCAGCCACATTTCTTCTGTTTTCCTTGAAAGCCTGGTTGGAGACCTAAGCAATTAGCAGATAGTGTCAGTTCTTAGAGGCAAGAGAACAACAAACTGGAGTGAATGATAGGATGTCCAAGTAGCTGGAATATGGAGGTGTTCTTACTGAAGATAAAATGGACCGAGAGACAAGCAATGCTAGTGTGTGAAGAGCTTGGCAAGGAAATGATGCCTCCCCTAACATGTTATACAAATGGCATTAGCCAAAACTATATATTGACAGCTTCTAAACTATGAGTGATTATAAAGAATTTCTGCAATCTTATAATACTGTTGTTCTCGTGGTACCTGGGAAATAACCCCAGTTGCCCAGATGGAGACTAGGTTCTCCCTCAATTCCTGAGCCATGGTTCACTCTCCCCACATACACATATTTGTTTATCACCTCTTTCTGTTTCTAAAAACTCACATGTATCAATTCTATGTAAAGGAAGAGCAATTATTTCACCCTGTTGATCTATTATGCTGATAAAATAGTAAGATAATTAGTACTGAACTGTTTAATGAGATATTTAACCTTTTACTAATATGTGCTCCCTTCACCTTTTTTCAGTACACTGTTAATCTATTCCCTAATTCACACTATAATTGTTTGTGTCTATTTCTTTGAAATTATGCAGGGTGTTGCAACAAGCTCTCCAAAGACATTTACAAGCAAGATCCTTTATCTCTGAGTAATGTAACCAAGTTAAATACTTTTTCTCTTGAATGGTTACATAGAGAACACCAATGTATAGATTTTAAATGTCTGAACTTCTGATTACTGAATTTCTGAATTAGTATGACATGATTACAGCTGATGAATAAGTATTTATTAGGGTGTCTAAGCGAATTGCCCATATATAGTTTAACTTTTATTTAGTTTATTCTGTCTACTGAATTCTCTGGCATAGTGTGTATTGTTAGCTGTCTCAAACCAAAGAAAAGTTCAATTCTCTAAAGAACTTACCTTTATTTGTTTGTTGTGCTTCTTATTTTGTATTAGTTTTTGCTTCCAATAGTCTGTAGGACTATTCCCAGCCAGGTGTCTTAAAGTCGATGATGACTAGAGCCAGATAAGAGAGCTGAGGTTTTTGGCACAGACGCGGCTGCTCTGATAATGCAATTACCTGTGTGCACACTCGCTACTTCCTTGCAGGCTTGCAAAATGAAAAGTATTCGGAGAGAAGTGTGCCAGCTCTCATTCTGTACGGCTGGTGTGAGATCAGCTTTTGTATCTAGTTTCAGTCAGGGCACGAAGGAAAGCAGACTAGAATGTGGCACTCTCTCTAGATACAGATCATCACGGCCTCGGGAGCTCAAAGGGAGGCATCACGATGGGGAAAAACAGCTCCAAGGAAACACTGCTGATGGTGACTCAGACTCATTATCTTCAAATATACAGACAACATTATTATCCTTTGTGATTTAACAATAGTTGCATTCAACACGAGACAGACCCCGCTTTTAGCAGCTTTGAGAAGTATGGCTATGTTGTTGCCATTGTTGTTATTCATAATAGAGGGTGTAGCGAAGTGACAGAGGAGGGTGGTTTCAAATGAGAAATGTAACTGATTACCATATAGATGGATAAGGGCAAAAACCTGGAACCTAATACAATGTTTGGAAAAGATTTAATAGTATGTGTGTGTGTGTGCATGTATACCTAGATTTAAAGTCACCCCGGTTCATTTTAGTTCCTCATGACCACTGTCACGTGTACGTGATGGCCACCTACACCTTCCAGCAGTCCAGCGGTGCACAGTCATCTGCATATGCTGCTGACTTTCAGTCCATAAGGGTTTTGTTGCTTCCTCGCTGTTGCTGGCATCATTTTGAAGGTTGTAGCCACGCCTTGTGCTTCTTCCTAAGTGATCTTAGTAAGTGATAAAATTCGAACATTGATCTTGTATGAAATGACTTTAGAAATCTCAAAAACAATAGCATGTGCATAAATGCAGACTGGACTATTCGCATTCTTCATCACTAAAGCAAAGTGTTGGAGGCCCTCCATCAGAAGGGTAAGGATGTCCCAAGAACAAGTTAATCGCTTTGTATTCATTAATATTAAAAAGCTGGAAAACTTGAAAAGAAGTGGCAAAGTTAAAATTCTGTGAATCACATTTTTAGATAACTTGTCCAAAGCATCTGTGTTTGTTAGGATTAGAAATAGTTGTGAATGGCAGGACTTAAAATAACAATGACTTAAACACGATAAAGTTTATTTCTCTCCCACATGGAAGCCTGTGATGGACAGCTCAGGGCTGGAATAGCGTCACTGAATCAAGGATCAGGTCTCGTGATTTTGTTCCACTTAGGAGCATCCGTTCCAAGGTCATAGAAGGCCATTCCAACTGAAAGCATCACAGCCATATTTCATGCTGTGAGGGGAAGGAAAGAGGGAAGGTGAAGCTTTTCATCTCTCCTTTAGTAAATACTTTGCAAGATTTGCACACTCCACTAGCACTTAGGTCCCATTGGTCACTGCCAATGTAGCTACGCAGAGTTGCAGGGAAAGAGGAAGACTTTGATCTTTGTTAGTGTTGTTGGCCAAAATGTGCAGGTATTTTCCTATAGGAAGAGGACATGATGAATATTGAAGACCAGCGGTAGCCTGTATGGTCTAGCGCTTTGTGACACAAATATCCAGGCAACGTTCTCTTCTTATATACAGCACATACTCATTCCCATGAGAGACAGAAGGCCTCAGTGTGCTCTGATGATGCTGGATGTAACTGAAGCCAAGATCTCTAGGGGGGTGCAGTTTTCTCTAGAGTAGCTGAATGTCACACCTGATGTGATGACCTGAGGCCTAAAAAAGGATATTTTTCTGTCACCTACAATCAAATCTACTGTGGTGGTCTATGAACCAGAAAACTACAATAGTGCTTTTATTCTGAGAAGGTATGAAAAGAAAACCCAGGGCGTCCACTGATCTGCAGCAGTGATCCGATCCTGCCGTTTGGAGGAGTCAGAGATCTGTTTGCCAGCGGTGTGGAATGACCTCTAGGCAGCTCCCTGGGACGGCCGAACATTCTGCACTCCGGGAAGAACTCCCAGTCTGTACTGCTCAGTGGCCGTGTCCTTACCTTCCCAGAGGTTGTTTCCTGGACACGGGATGCCACCAAAAACATCTGAAGAAAGTGCTGATGGTTACAGCGTGTGTAGCCCACTTTGTACTGGGACGGACTGAGGACCCATGACTTTAGCAACCGAACAATTGTAATTGAAGGCCTGGCTTGTGGTTTCTTTGCCGAAACAATTTGCTCAAAACCTCAGTAGACTTCCAGTCTAGCTAACTTCATTTGTTAAGAATCTTAGGAAAAGCTATTTTTGGCCGAACGTGTTGTGAATGCCCATTGTTCCAATCGTTTACTTACTATCTACTTTGTTCTACTTCAACTATGCAACTGCCACACAGAAGAGATCTGAAAAGAGAGACCTAGTGGGGAAGGCAATATGGTAGCCTCTCCCATCAGCTTGGGTACATTCCAGGAGCCCCAGGGAGTACCTGAAACTGTACACAGCACCAAACTCAGTATAATCTATTTTCTCCTATATGATCTGCACTGTTTCTACATAGTACTGGAGTTAATCTGTTCTTTGCACTACTATTCTTGCATTTGGGGGCCATTAGTAAATAAAATAAGGGCAACTTCAACACAAGCATAGCAATACTGGAACAGTCCATCTGGTGACCAAGGCAGGTACTATTTGACTAGCAGATGAGTGATATACATATATCACCTAGGTGTCCCAGACAAAGCAATGACTCAAATGCTGGGAGAAATGAGTCAATACCTGCTTTCATCATGCTGATCAGAAGGGCAGGCAATTCAAAACTTCCGAATTGCTTGTTTCTGTGTCTTTCCATTCCAGAAATACTTTTGTGCCGTGGCTGACTGTGAGTAACTAAAACCTCAGGAAATGGAACCACCGTGATTCTCTGCAAACAAGGTCTAACTGAAAAATAATCAGCCTTAAAGACTCGTGATCAAAAATGCCAGCCCAGTCACCTCCTACCGCCTTACCTGCCGTCACTGTTCTCTTGCCAAGGGCTACTCTTTCAGGCAGGTAATGAAGGATAGGCTGACTGGGGCTGGCATTTTTTGATCTCTAGACTTCAAGGCTGATTATTTTCCAGCTAGGTCTTATTTGGGGGGCAACAGGGCATGAATAAGGGGCAGAATACTATACCCTAAGTCTGATGGGGCCTCCGGCAAGCTCACAGACTTGCCCTACCAGATGCATTTGTCTCCTTTAACAAAACAGTGAGCCCTCTATGGCTATACTTCCATGTTTTACTTGGAAGACGAGAGCAATCTTTTTCAATGTCACAGAACATAAATTACCAGAGTTTTCATTAATCGAGATTGTACAGTAAAGACAGTTCCTCCCTTAGCAAAGGTACATTCTCTAATACTACACACAGTTTGTGACTCGAAAGCGGCGTAGCACAGGCAACATAGCCTTCTACTTCATTCTATTTTTCTCTCTTCCTTGAAAATTATCATATTGTAGATTTAGTCTCAGAAGAATTTTATATTAAATACTGAACACATGGTTTGTTTTCCAAAGATGTCCACATTCCATAATACCCTAAATGAATAGGGATCTGGAGATTACCAAAATTGAACTCACCCAAAGATAATGAAAATGATTCATGTATTTTGAGTTCAATGAGAAATCGTCCTCACTAAATCAGGCATTAGAGTGCACAGAACATATGTACATTCATTGATGTAGAATTACAGTAAGCTAAAAAAAATAAATTATTAAACTTTTCTAAGAGATTCCCAAGTTCCTTGGGCTGAGATAGAATATAAATTTCTTGTTATCTCCAATTCAAAAGATTATGCTCCATTTTATTGAAAACAGCAATAATAAATTCTTAAGACATCAAATCTGACCTTAAGAAACTGACCATCTATGAATTCTCAGTACCTATTGCATCCCTTATCTTCTTCCTCTCATTTTACATGTGAATAAATAATTCCAGAGAGAAGAGGTAATAAGTATTCACTGGCATAGTTAGTGGTACAACCTGCATAAGAACTCAGTTCTCCGAGCACTTTATTTTTTGCAACTGTGCTAAAAAAAGAACTACAGAAATCTGTGTCAATATCTGTGAAACGTCTGAGATTTTACCCTACTTATAAGCTAATGTTAGCTTGCCACAATTCAGAGATGCTGGCAGAAAACACAAGACTCTTGGGTCAGAAATAAAAGACTTCATTGCTCACAGCAAAAAGAGTAGGCAGAGAATCAACGTATTTGTATCAGGTTCCTGAGCCCTGACTCCCACAGGGGTAACTCAGATTTCCTCGATGGATGTCTCTACATGCATTAGTTCCTGTTTTCAGATGACACTGAGTTCAGGAATTCAGTGCTTTATAGTAGCTAGTAAGTAAGCCTGTTCTTTGTCTCAGAAAGAGCATCATCTCATGCCACAAGAAATGGTCCAAAAGAGAGCATTTACTTTTTGTCCTTTACTTGGGATTTTTATTCCAGGTATTCCCAACAAATATGTAACAACAAAACATACAGCAGTACTAGAGACCTACGAAGGAGTGTTCCTTGACAATCTGTATAGAGGGTGAGATAAAAACGGTGGATATGTATCCAGTACACGTCTCAAAATTTATTATGCATAGAAATCAACCAGAGACAGTGCTAAAATGTACCCTGATTCAGTGAAAATGGAGCAGAGGCTGTGATTCTCAATTTATTCACATTCTCCGGTGGAAGATGCTGTGAGTTCAAGCTTATAAGCAGTTAAAGAGCAGGGCTCTAGATGAAGTCTGAATAGGTTTCAGAAAGTCCCCATCTTCTAGCTCCGAGACTTCTGTTTCACAGACCCAGAGGGTCTTTGTAGTCTGCTTCCTAGAACTTAGCAAAATATGACAAAATGATGCTGTCTAAATATATATAACACCAGAATATGTATTCATAATAGACTCTAGAATACCTGTTTATAAATTTACAGTGGGGGATTGACTTGGATTATGATATTCATATTGGCATGGTCAGTTCCTAAAATGAAGCTGTAAATGCATCAAAGTCAGTCATCATTGTATTAATCCATCACAAGAAATCACTCTCTGAGGACAGAAGCTACTGGAACACTACAGTGTAGACAAATCTGCATAAGACACCAAATCATAATCGGAGGTTGCACGGTGACCATGGTGACATGGCAGTGAGACCAAAATAAGAGAAGATAAATAAACCAGATATGCAGTGCATTGGTCTAAAATCATTGTTGCTTCCTTTGTTTTACATTAAGTGGCTGTTTTGTTACTAGGAAAAGGTACAAGTGCTATCCACTGATGGCTGCTTTTCCTGGGAAGGGTACATACATGATAGTCATCTTTGGATCACCCAGCCCTGATTTTCTTCTGTGACTTAACTTTATTTAT